TTCTGTGGCTTGCTTTGTGAAGGGGCCTGTTCTATGCCCTCTTGTTTGATAGAATCTCATGCTTTAAAGCAGGTGTTACATTACCTAAAGCAGGAAAGTCTAACATTTTTGACCTGAGGGCTGCATTCAACTTTGCCAACTCCCTGGGGGACCATATGGCAGTGTGGGGTCCCGCACTCTTGCATACACACACCCCGGACACACATCCTCTCTCCCCTTAGCAGATCTATGCTTTTCCATTAATCAGACGGCCAATCTGATGACAGAGAGGAAGCAATTAACATCCCTATCAGCATGCTGAACTGGGTGGAGGTTAAGGCTGTGCCTGCTTTATGTTTTTCCCCTCTTTATGGCTGTTACTGCCAAACCTGATACGGTATTAGCAGCCATAAAAATTTTACTGGGGGCCTGGTAAAGTTAGTCTGCTAGATGCTTTCAGTAAATGACTTGATGATGATGATGATGATGATATTTTAGAATTGAATGTTGTATTTTCCATTGTGGAGCATCAGTAATCAAACCAAACCACCAGCAGAAATCTATTAATTTAAATAGGAATTAGATCTGTGCTTTGAGAAAAGACTGTAGATGAAATCAGTGTTGCACTTCAGATGTAATATGGTTTGTTGCAATTTGAGGCAGGAAGGGGATTTCCTCCTCTGTGACAAATTATGTAAATCACCCGATCTGCAATACTAGAGGTTCAACAGAGGTTAATTCAAGGGTCAGCAACCTTTTTCAGCCGTGGGCTGGTCCACCGTCCCTCAGACCGTGGGTTGGACTATATTGGGGGGGGGATGAACGAATTCCTATGCCCCACAAATAACCCAGAAATGCATTTTAAATAAAAGGACACATTCTACTCATGTAAAAACACGCTGATTCCCGGACTGTCTGTAGGCTGGATTGAGAAGGCGATTGGGGCCGCATCCGGCTCCTTGGCCTTAGGTTGCCTACCCCTGGGTTAATTTGTCCCTGAAACACCAGATGCTACCCATGCTTTGTACCTTAAAGAGACAGAGCTTTATACTTTGCAAATTGCAGTCTCTCAAGGCTGACACAAAACCAGGCTGTCATTTCAGTGCATACAGAACGTAAATCAGAAAGGACGTTCTCCACAGCAAAACACTAGAGGCCATTGTCCTCCACTCCACAGCTTTCTGTACTGCTTGAAAGCCAAGTATGTATCACTGAGGATAATGCATTCAAAAACATCAGTCTACAACTGCAGGAGGCGAATGCAGTTAGTTCACATATCTGACAACACTATTTGAATATGAACAATTCAGTATTCCTCTAAATTATAAGCAAACCACAGATGCAAAAAGGAAGATTAGCACCCCTCACTGCATCGCAGGAATCCTCTACTGACTGGCTTCCAAGCAGGTAAAATTCTGCTTGCAAAGAGGAGCTAAACTCACAGTACATGGGAAAATATTTACATAGTATGGTTTTTCCAACATCTGAACTTCCCAAGAGCACCTGTACCATTTAACATTAAGAAGAAGGTGTCAATGCTTTTTCCTGTCGCTGCCACTGCTAAGAAACCATCTCCACTAAAGCTGCCTCAGCACACAAGAGAGCAGTCCATAGGCACAGTGGCTGCTGGGCAATGTCTTCAGGTTTGTTTGTTTCACCAGCACATGCACAAATTCTTTCTGATTTTTTGTAGTCTCATACTTTATTCTGCCCAATTGCCTACGTTTCTCACCAGCATGTAAAGGGACAAGGCACAGAAGAAATCAAAGTGTCTAACTTATTTTTAATGAATCATGAAAGAGAATTTTGGCAGGTGGTTAGAAAAAGTGTACCTGCTGAAATGTTCTCTCCTGCACAACACTGAAAGGTACAGGAGCTCTTTATTCTCTGGGAATTATTCACCCTACAAGTATGTGCACAGTCACCTTTCGTAAACACACCTTTCCACCCATTTCTCAGTACTGGCAAAAAGTCTGCTTCCTGACCGTTCCTCCACTGCTGGGGCAGTTCAGACAACTGTAGGCTCTATCTGCACCCTACATTTAACGCAGTGTAATATCACTTTAAGGAATCATAGCTTCCCCTCAAAAAGTTCTGGAAACTAGTTTGTTGAGGATGATAAGAGTTGTTAGAAGACTTTTATCCTCGCAGAGCTCCAGTGGCAATCCCTCTTCCTATAGAACTCTGGGAAATGTATCTCTGTGAGGGGAATAGGGCTCTTCTAACAACTCTCAAAACCTAAGAAGCTACAGTTCCCAGGATTTGCATTGGCTTAGGCAACAGTGACAGTTTATTTTTATTATTATTAAATGTATATCCCACTTTTTCCTTCAAGGAGCTCAAGGGGACACCCATGGTTTCTCTCCCACCCCATTCCATAGTCTGTGAGACAATGACCAGCCCAAGGTCATTAAGTGAGCTTTGTGGCTGAGTGGGGATTTGAACCCTGGCCTGTTGGGTATGGTTACCAGATGTCCCCGTTTCCCGGGGACAGTCCCTGGATTTACAAATCTGTCCCCAGACAAAATCCATCCCCAGAATGTCCCCGGATTTCATTTAATGTCCCTGGATTTATATTTTGTTATAAATATGTTGAAGATTTATTAGTAGGGAAGGAATGTTGTGTGATTGGTTCAACGGCAAAGGACACATCATGTGGGGACTTCCAGTGAGGTAAAATGGCGAGCGCAACAGGAGCAAGCAGCTCCTGAAGCAAGCCAGAGTTAACTGCACTACCAGGCTGGCTCCGGGCTGCTGAGACTGCCGCTGCCACCGCCACTACCGAAGGGGAACCAGGGATGCCCGGCATGTCAACAGAGGGAACCTCAGACACACACACACCCCGCGACCCAAATTGAGCCGGGAGCGAGAGTGCCCGGCCGACTGCCCAGCGCCGCTCTGGGGCCAGGAAAAACCCTGGAGCTGACACAGGGAGAAGGAGGAGAGGAGGAGAAGGAAGAGAGAGGAAGAGGAAGGAGAAAAAAGAGGGGAGCCCCGCCCTTGCTGCACCACCACCGGCGCTGAGGAGGAGAGGTAGGAGAGCACCAGGAGGGCAAGGACACGTGGCCAAGCCCAGGCCCGACCCGAGCCTACTCCATGGTGGCCAACGCTCCAACAGAGCAGGCCAGGGCCCAGAGGAAGGCCATGAGACAGAGGAGACCACAGAAGAGAAGACATTACTTCCTTTTAAAAAAAAAAAATGTTTTTTAATAACTTTTTTTCTCTTTTCAAAAAAAAAAAGTGTCCCCGGATTCTTTGAAAAAAGTCTGGTAACCTTACTGTTGGGTACTGTTGGGTACACTAACCTCTAACCAGTATTGGCTGCTTAGAATTTCATACATGTCCCCACTAAACTAAACACATTACGGCTACAACCTTGTGCACAACTGACACTTTGCTCTCAGTAAACATGGGTATGTATGTTGAGGTTGGGTAGTTCCTATGCTATTCACGTTTACATACAGTAAGTAAGCTCACAACTTGCACACATTTGACTTATGTGCATTCGGCTTTATGTGATTGGCCAAAAATAAAACTAAAATTTAAAGGGGTGGGGTTTCAGGAAAAATGACTTTGGCAACCCCACTTACCATTGAGCCCAATGGGTTTTGACTAGACACAATTTTGGCTTTGGCGCAAACCAAAACCACAGAACATAACCCCTGCGTAAATCGTGGGCTTACTGTATTATTGACTTCCATCAACCTCAGGCAGGAGTTCCCACCAAGGTCCTCCAAAGCAAAGGAGCTGATTCTCAAGCTGAGGAGCAGGGAGAAGCAAGCTGGAGGCCAAGCCTGACCTCAAGACTCTCCACACAGGCCACCAACACATGCAGCACCCAGGACACAGATTAGCCATCCATGAGTCCAAGGAGCTCAGGTCAGTATATACAGCAGCATTGTTGGTTGGGGACTTGGCTACAGGTTTTTCTGGCCCTAATTGAAAATAGCACTAACACCAGTTCTTCATGAATAGAGGTCTTGTGGGGGCTGCTTTTTTGTTTTGTCTTTCAGGTTGCAGTTATTTGCAGTTGCAGACAAGATCATACAGTCATACCAGAAAAGAATTTTTTGTCAAGTCAATGGAGTGAGCTCCTCTTCTGGGTTCCAGCCAGGGTTCCGCTAAATGCCTATCATGCTCTGCACACCTTTATTCAATTTCCTCTCCTGTTTTAGGGTTGTTGCTTTCCCCCCTTCCCATGTTTTAAGTTCTTGGCTGTTAGTACCTCTCCAAATTTGGGGGCGTGTGGTGTGGTGTTGGTGTTGCACAAGCCTAATGACGCCTTTTCTTTCTGCATGGATGGCTGCAGAGCCAAGATGTTGGTGTAGTGTCACCCTCACAGGCGGGCTTGATGGGGACCAAGAGGGCCTTCTTGGTGGTGGCTGCTCCCTGGCAACTTTGGAACTCCCTGCCTTGAGAAGCCAGGCTGGCTCCCTCCTTGCTTTCATTACTCTGGCAGGTAAAGACTTCCTTGTTCCAACAGCCCCTTGGGAACTGACTGCTTTTAATGAGGGGGCTGGTGACATTCTGCTTTTGTGATACTGTAATTATCTGTGTTTTTAATTGATCTATTTATCCATATTTAATATATATATATATTGTGTGTGTGTGTGTGTTTTAGTTCTACTTATTAATGTTCAATTGTCTTTTCCTATGTTCATATTTTTTTCTGTAAGCCGCCTTGAGACCCTGTCAGGGGACAAGGCGGGAAATAAATAGATTACTGGAATGAGGCGGCGATCTCCTCCCCCGCGTGTCCGTTGAGGCTCGCGCGGCGCCAAGCCAAGCCTGCAGGTGGCGCTGCCCAACCGCCCATCTCGGAACCCTTCCTCCTTTGCCTCTGGGCCTTTCGACCTTTACCCTCCGATAAGGCGCGGTTGGCTGGGCCGGCACAGCGGGGCGGGGTTTGGCGTGGAGGGCGGGGCTTGCTCCCGCCACTCTTAAGCCGTCGGCCCAAAGGGCGCTTGCGACGGCGGTGGAGACTCCTCCCCTCCGTCCCTCCCCCGCGCAGGCGCAGTCCGCCTCCTCGCCGCTGCTTCGAGCTACCTCAGGCAAGAGCGAGCGGCAGAAGCCGGGCAGCGCCGCCTGCCTTCGCATCCCTCCGAGGGCGGCGAGGGGCTGAGGAGGAGGAGGACGCCGCCTGTCCGCCCGCCCGCCCGCTCGCCTTCTTCCCTCTTCGGACTTCTCTCTCTCTCTCTCTCGCCATGAGTCCCGAGGAGAAGCCTCCTCCGCCGCGCCGCTCCCGGGGCGGCCGGGCGCCCCCTCAGCCGCGGCGCGGGGGCCTCTTGACGGAGATCCGGACGCGCATCCTCACCGAGCCCTTCCAGGAGCGATACTCCCTCAGCCCCGGCCGCGAGCTCGGCAGGTGAGCGGGGGGGGGGGGCGGGGAGCCGCTGCCAGTCCGGGTCGGCAGCGCCGCGCTGAGCCGCAGGTGGGGACGGCGCCCTGCTTCTTGCGAGCCAAGGATCTCGGGGCCCGTGGTGGGAGAAGCGGGGAGGCGGCAGGGCGGAGGAGGTCCCGCGTCGCAGCGCCCTTCCGGGGCAGCTGTGAGAGAGAGGCAGTGGGGCGCAGTGGGGAGCGGGCCGGGGAGGGAAGTGGCGCGACCTCTTACTCCGCGTTTGCAAGACCTCGGTCGCCGAGTGCGGCGTCGGCGGCGCCTCCCCTTCGGAACTCGCTGCCCTTCCGAGACGAGCCTGCCCAGGTGCCTAGAAAGCGGAGGTAGTTTTAACCTGCATTATTAGTATTTTAACTTTCGCGTGTTTTTAAAATTCGTATCTGGTCCCCCGTCCCCGACTCCTCGTTTTACCTTTTTGTAAACGTCTTGAGACTTCTTGCAATCAAGCGGCGTACAAGTTTCATGAGATGAACAATTCCCCTTCCCTTTGCCGTAAAGCTGGGGCGGGGGGCGACCCTGCCTCTCAGCCCTAACCCGCCTCACAGGGTTGTGGGAGTTGAGGGGAGAGCCATGCTGCTCCACATTGAACTCTTCGGAGAAAAAGGTGGGGTATAAATGCAATAAACAAATAAGATCTGGTGGCTCTCCTGCTACTCTCCTTCTCCTAATCCTTGCCTGAGTGATTTCAAGGTGTAAAAGAAAGACTTGGTTTTTCATTGTTCCAGTTACAGATGGGTAGCCGTGTTGGTCTGCCATAGTCAAAATAAAAAAATCCTTCCTGTAGCACCTTAAAGACCAACTAAGTTAGTTCTTGGTATAAGCTTTCGTGTGCATGCACACTTCTTCAGATACACAGTGTATCTGAAGAAGTGTGCATGCACACGAAAGCTTATACCAAGAACTAACTTAGTTGGTCTTTAAGGTGCTACAGGAAGGATTTTTTTATTTTGGTTTTTCATTGTTTGTGGGGATGGTGGGAGAGAACTGTTCCCACAAATTCCCCTTTGGCCTGTGTCTCTCCCTCGCCTCACCCCCACCCATTTGTGACTTGGCAAAATATGTTTGATCCTATATGTGTGGAATCAGGTATCTTGGCTTTGTATGCCCACGGAGACCTTGTGCTCTTCCCCCATACACACCCCTCTGCCCTACAAAAGCAGGTTTTTGCCCTTTTGGGGCAGAGTTGCTTCCAGGTTTAATGGTGCACATAGGAGTTGTTGGCAGTCTACTTCTAAGAGCAAAAGTGGGTATTTTGTGCACTATTGGAAGTGTACTTTATTTTGTAGGGATCAGAGGTGTGAGTTTGCCCAAACTTTTTTCAAAGAGGGCCAGATTTGATGAAGTGAACATAACATGCATACGGGCCAACCAAACTTTGGGCCCCCTGCAACCAAAGATTAGGCCCCCAAAATGGGCTTTGGACATGCCTGCTTTAAGGATACACCACTGGTTGATGTATACTTAACCTTGAAAAATTCAAGGTAACTGAGTGAAGGTTATATACTTCACCCTTGTTTAAAGTACGTGAATTGTGAGTCTATCCAGTATGAAGGTATACATTTTTCATACTACAGTACAGGCACAGTACTGATCTTGTAGTCTTTGGTGTGTGTTTTTTAAATCTAAAAATGCATGTATGTTGTATATGCAGTTTCCTTGTAGAAATACTTGTCATGTTTGAGTAGAGATTTATTCAACCTGTTCACAGTGAATATCGTATAAATTTAGCAATACCTGAAAATATTTCAAAAGCAATAAAGGAAATTCAATAATACAGTCAAACCTCTGTTCTGCTTCCAAAATGTTTGACAGCCGTGGTGCGGCTTCCAATTGGTTGCAAGAGCTTCCTGCACGCAAGCAGAGGCTGTGTTGGACGTTCGGCTTCTGAAAAACATTTGAAAACTGGAACATTTACTTCTGGTTTTTCGACGTTCAGGAGACAAAACGTTCCAAAATGGAGACATTCGGGGGATGAGGTTTGACTGTATTGGTCAAAAAATAAAGTACTATATCTGCTTTTTTCTGGTGCATTGCTACAATACAATTTTGTATTGCAGATTTCTGGGCAGTTGATTTATTGGTGATAGCCCATTTTAAATGGTCAGGTGCAAGTCAGATGAAGTTTAAACTTCTATTAAAATGTTTCTAAAATGCTTAACTTTGATTGTATCGTAACAATGGCCTACTGAGTTAAAGCTTCCAGTCCCAATTGTGTGGTTCTCTCTACCCCCCAGAATACAATGGTACCTTGGTTCTTGAACTGTTTAGTTGTCGAACAAATCGGCTCCCGAACGCTGCAAACCTGAAAGTTAGTGTTTGCAAATGTTTTTCGGGAGCCGAATGTCCGACGCGCCTTCTGCTTGAGTGCAGGAAGCTCCTGCAGCCAATTGGAAGTCGTGCCTTGGTACAGTACACTGTATCTGAGATTAAGAATTTCATCCTCTACTGACTGAGCTATCCCAGATCTTTTGGTTAGCTGATCCTGCCATCTACTCCATTGACTTCCTTCCAAGGTAAGCAATAAAATAAAATACAAATCCTTAGATTGATGATAATAATAATAATAATAATAATAATAATAATAATAATAATAATAAAATTATACCCCACCCATTTAGCTGGGTTTCCCCAGCCACTCTGTGCGGCTCCCAACAGATTAAAAACAGAACAAAACATCAAATGCAGCCATTCTTTCATTTACAAATCAAGCACACATCTTTGTAAACAAGTGTGGGCCTGCATATATAAAAATGTAACATGAGTATCTGCTCTGAGACTCAAAATGAGTTGTGCATCTTATTGGAACATAATATGATCATCAAGGGTGTGGATGTCCTGTCCTTACCAAAATCTTCAGGTTGCAACAAAATACAAAACAAAAAAGTTCAGTCAATGAAAAGTAGATGCAGGCTGCACCAATTCAATGTGTGTTTCATTGACAAATAGCAGACTGTGGCTAAACGTTAGGCAGGAGATCAGAGACAACTTTGGGCATTAAGTGTATCTGCATAAGGCTTAAATTGGGCTTAATAATAGTAATAATAATAATAATATGGCTGGGACTGTATGTTTGCTGTTCTGAGTTTTCTCCCATGTTAACAGAATTCATATGTGGATCTCTTTAATTTCATATATGAAAATATCCATGGAAATTATTTTTGTTGAATTACTGCGGGATGGTATTCCCTAATCCATAGTGCAGCGATAGTCCTTAACAAGTGTACTACAGCAAGAATCTGCGTATTAGTCAGTGCTCTGCATAGTGAAATATTTGTTTGTGTTTTTATTTAAATTACTTATAACCTCCTCTTCATAGTTCGTATAATTCCAGAGTGTGGAATGTTAAAATACAGTAAATCAATATGTCATTTAAATACAATTCAAAGTGAAAGCTGCCAGTATACTAATAACCTACACTTAATTATTTAAAAAATATTTGATCTTAATGTGCAAAACAAACCTATATTGGGGATCATGATATAACTAGCAGAATGAGAAGGCTTCCTAGCCTGTTGTAATTATAGTTGGATAACTTATCTATGGGTAGATGGCTGTACTGAAATATTGGTTCATTTATTGGTATTTTGCTCTTCTTACAGAGATTTGCACAAATGTTAACCAACCTACTATTATTATTTAATCCATGATGTTCAGCTGACTGTTGTGACTTTTCTCCTTGCAGACAAAATAAGCTGGTGATAGCAAAGCCCACAAAAGTTCTAGTGGCTGCTATTGAAAAAAGGCCTGAGGATTATACTCGGGTATTTTTGTATTGAAGCACTGATAGAAATTTATGAAAACTTGCAGGTGGAAGATAAAGAAATAATTTCTGTGACTTTGTGTGGTAGCTGAGTCCCTGTTTAGTGGTCATCAAGTCTTTTATTGGCAATTGTCCACAATGAAGAGATCAGAAGTAAACAGTCTCTGAACCTAAATAGCAAAAAAGTGTATTTTTACATGAAATTCTGTTTCCATGAAATTACATTGTTCACTGTTCTCTGAGGTTTGCATTCTATTTTGCCAGCAGGATAACGGTATCAAACTAAAAAATTATGTGATAGATTTCTATATACTGTATTTTTTGCTCTATAAGACACGCCAGACCATAAGACGCACCTAGTTTTTGGAAGAGGAAAACAAGAAAAAAAATATTCTGAATCTCAGGAGCCAGGACAGCAAAAGGGATCTGGATTATGGGATAGTGCGTGCAGCCTCTCCCGGGCAGTGGGATGAAGGCTCCCCCTGCCTGGAAGAGGCTGCGCGCAGATAAGCAAGAAGCCAGGACAGTCAGCGGGATCGCAGCGCAGCGATCCCGCTGGCTGTCCTGGCTTATGGGATAGCCGCACGCAGCCTCTCCCAGGCAAGGGGAGCCTTCATCCCACTGCCCAGGGAGAGCCTGCGTGCAGCTAAGGCTCCACCAAGAGCTGCGCTCCCTTTAAAGAGCGAGCGGAGTGTGTGTGTGGCGTTCCAACACACGCTCCACACGGCTCTTTAAAGGGAGCGCTGAGCAGAGCTTCCCGCCTGCATTCACTCCATAAGACGCACACACATTTCCCCATACTTTTTAGGAGGGGAAAAGTGCGTCTTATAGAGCAAAAAAAATACGGTAATTAATTGATTGAGAAATCACTTTGGACAATAATGGGGAAGGGATGATGAAGGGCAGCCTTCCACAATCTGGAAGGGCCATAACTCAGTGATTGACCATCTGCTTTGCATGCAAAAGGACCTAGGTTCAATCCCTGGCATGTCCCTGATTGGTCTGGAAAAGACTCCTTGTCAATAACCTGGATAGCTGCTGCCAGTTTGTGTTGACAGTATCGAGCTATAGGAACCAACAGTCTGACTCAGTAGAGGTTCTATGTACTTTGCCACACATAAGGTTGTGTGTGTGTTTTGGTTTGTGAAGGTTCAGTAAAGCATAACAACACCTTTTATAAATGAAATCTCACTTGAGGTTCATAAAAGATTGCATCCTTGCCATTTGGTGGAGAGTAGCATGCTCGTACATATGAGCCTTGGGCATAGCCGGGGGGGCAGCTGCCCCCCTTAAATCAAGTAAATAAATTAAAATACTTAACTAACTGACCAATTTTGCTACAGATAACTCGGTTCTGTCTCCACCCCCAACATAAAGCCTGCCCCGCCCTAAAAGAAATCCTGGGTATGCCCATGATTATGAGCTAAATTGGGCTCATAAGACACTTCCTATGTTCCTAACCTGGTACCTTCCAGATGTGGGAGTAGCCCAAAACATCTGGAGGGCACCAGACTGGGGAGACCTGATCTAGAGTAACTGGATTTGCTAGAGAACATCAGGCTTAGGTCTGGATGGCTTTAATTTCTTAAAGTATATAGAAAACTAAATGCCACTGTCCATAGTGTTCCAACCATTTCTGCAAGTGACTGAAAATGTACTTTGTATTAGATTGGGTACCCTTCTGACCCATCCTAATACTCATAGCTTTCCCTTCCCCATTCCTTCCTTAGAAGATGGACAAGGTATGGCTCTCATCACTTATATTCTGGGTAGCATTTAATGCATTGGTTGACTATAGTGAAAAAGTGGGAAATATTGAGGGTTATTGTGTATTTTCATGTTTGCATACCTTGCCAAAATCTGCTTTTCCCTCAACCCATGTTATTTCCTTGTATAAATTCCTGTACTTATTCAAGGGAAAAGGGAAATAGTAGAAAAGCCAGTCTTAGGTGCTGTACAGACATATATGTAGATTCTCCCAGAGTGATCACAAATAGCTAAACCTATAATTCAACCCAAAATACAATTACTTGGAGTCTCATTGCCTTCAGATATTAAGATATTTGTTTTAGTTTTCTAAATTTGTCATAAATTCCATTTGCATCTGCTTAAATCTATGTTGGTAGTAGCTGGCATCTACATTAGGGATACTAATGTAGTATCTTTTCCTAATTTACAATGTAATATAAAATAACAGTAGTTTAGTTGCTAGAGCAATAGAGATGACACATGCAAATAGTATGATGCCTAAATATTGAGCAAGGTGAACTTGGTGATTTTTTTAAAAGTAGCATTGCAGCTGTGCACTGTAGACAGGGCCGGTAGTCTGACTTGGTATACGATAGCTTCATATGCTCATATGCTCATTATTTACTAATTACATTAAGCCTGAAACTTAAACACATTTAAATTGTGTGTATTGCTTCATGCAATTGGCAAAACACTAACTTTTTTTAACAGGCAGAAAGGGCATGGGGTTCCAGGTAAAATGACTTTGGCAATTCCACCCATCATTGGCTATAAGTTATTTTGGCTTTAGGTGTGATCCTTGGATCGTAACCCCCATGTAAGTTGTGGGCTTACTGTGTGGCTAAATTGCATGCAACTTACAATAAGCTTCACAGAATATCAAAAAGCTGTAAGATTTAAAATACAATGCAGTATGATAACTTTAATAAATGTTATTAATTGACTATACGTTCAATATTTTCATATTAAAATGCAAAAATGTGGATTTTGTTTCATAAATACAATGTTTGAGATAGGAAAGAGAATTAAGGGAATGTATTCTTTGTTACGCATATTGAACCTAACTAGAGAATTCACTTCTGTCCTACATCTCATTCATCTTATAATTGCAGCCTCTTAAGTCTGTAGTCTAGCTTCCTAGGGAGTATGTTCCATTGAATTGTTTAGGACTTGCTTTTGAGTAAACATGCTTAGAATTGCCCAGTAAAACAGCATAAGTAATGAAACCTTTCATTGAAAAAGGAACTGCTGGCAGTAGAGTATGACTTTTACAATGTGCCCCCCCCAATCCAGAATGTATGGGAAGACTGGAATATCCCTATATAAATAGTGTGGAATTCTGTAAATCAAATGCAGTTCCGTTACTTGCAAATCCTCTTTCTCACTTTCAAAACAATTAGTTTCTTTCCTGAAGTTACTATTAATATGTATAGCACCCACAATAGTGACATGATATTGTAGTTTACTTTAAGAAACTATTATTTGATATCACATTCTTAGATGTTCACTAGTGGATCCATGACAACCAGAGAGTGGGTAAACATATGACGTAAAAGTATTTTGCTTATTGAGCTTGACTTGTGATCAGTAGGGCCTTTGTTTCTTTTCTTCAAGCCAGGAGGCATGCCAACTTAAACCATGCCTTTGAGGTTGGTAGTCTCAAGAAATGACATTGAGCTCTTTTTAATTCAACTCTGAGTTCCAGTGAAACCATTCAGATTTTTAGCCAATGCCATACTGCAGACATCAGATTTAGCTAATGAAACCATTTAACTTTACCCAGAATTTTCTTTCCCAATTAAAGTACATGTTTCATAGCCCATACCCAACCAAGAAACCTTCCTTTTCCTGGGGGAAATACATTTGTATTCCTGTAGTGCTCCAACTTCCTGGTTCCCCTTAGTTTGCCTCTTAAAGTAAATTCTCACGCCCTGCACTTAGCCACATTTACTTGAAACTAATTACCATTAATTTTAGTGGAGCTTGTATGTCCAAGTCTGTGTGTGTGCAGGGGATTTTTTTTAAAGCAAGCAGTTTTGATGAATGATGCTTTTAAAGACTAATTAATAAAACATGAATCTTAAATTTAGTATACATATTAAAAGCATAAGGATTTTTAATGAAAGTTACAAATTTAAATGGATCGGTACTTGTTCTGCTTATCAGCTCATGCGGACAAATTTGGTATTTCAGACTACGGAGAGTTAATAGGTGGACTATAAATCTGAGAAGTCTTAATAGTATCCATATCCACATCCAAGGCTTTTTCTCAGTTAGAGCTGTACTCCAGTACCTCACAGGTGCCAGGCGCCACTGCAGGTTGGCTTCCGGACACTGACCCGCTCTTTTAGCCAGTTGCCAGAGTGGGGAAGGAGAAGTGAACAGGATGGGAGTTGGAGGGTGAGGAGAGGTCAGTGCAAGCCTGAGCCACCAGGACACAAACCCTTAAGCCCAACCGTGGCTCCACCTCAGGGAGGCCATGTGATGGCCTGGCTGTGTGTATGTTGCCTTTAACCAGGAATGTGCCTCTGGTTTGGACTCAGGCAGTGGCAATGCACGCATTCCCCCCCCCCTTCTTTTCCTCATGGAGGGAGATTTGGGTGCCCCATTCAGCTTTGCTGCTGGGCTCCCGCCATCTATCACTCGCTCCCCCTTTCTCTCCCCATCTCTCTCTGCTTTTTTTTTTTTAAAAAAACCAATGTTTTGGTTAAGTTTTCGTTGCCTTGTTTAATGTACAGTGGTGCCTCGCAAGATGAAAATAATCCGTTCCGCGAGTCTCTTCGTCTAGCGGTTTTTTTCGTCTTGCGAAGCAACCCTATTAGCGGATTAGCGCTATTAGCGGCTTAGCGGCGCTTAAAGGCTTAGCGGCTAAAAGGCTATTAGCGGATTAGCAGCTTAGAAAAAGGGGGGGAGCGGGGAAAAAATCGCAAGGCTCGCAAGACGTTTTTGTCTTGCGAACAAGCCCATAGGGAAAATCGTCTTGCGAAGCAACTCAGAAACGGAAAACCCTTTCGTCCAGCGGGTTTTCCGTCTTGCGAGGCATTCGTCTTGCGGGGCACCACTGTACTTTTAATGTATGATATGCTTTTAATTTCATATAAACTAGCAGGTTAGCTTACGACAGTTTTAAGTAGTGCACTTTAAGGTGTTATCTACCTCAGACTCTCAACAGTGGTACTTAAACTCTAAATGAACTTTGGAGTGGGGGCATTCAGGGACACTGAAGTCTTGTGCAAACTAAACTGGATGCTCAAGATGTGTGTGTCTGCTGTCAGTTCTGTAGGCCTATAATACGTGTTAGTTGTTGTGCCAGAAAGATATATGTAATATGAAGGAAAGGGGTGGGGGTTAGGGAGAGTCCGAAGTTTGTATGCAGAGTGGAAGGAAAGGAGGACCTTTATCTGCCTCCCCACTTCTACCCACTCTCTGAAGACTGGAGAAGGGACCCACATACTGTAGGAATACTAAGTGGGCAGGCAGGGGAAGCTTTATTTTTTTCAGTCTTCAGGTGAGGACTGGACTATATGTAAAGTGAACGTAAGATTGTAGCTGGAGTTCATTCATTTTCTGCTTTGTAATCTTGTTATACAAAAAAAAAAGAGGGCTCCCAGACATTCTCTTATTGTGCCCAGAACCTGGTTTTCAGGCTTCATGTGGTGCCTGGCTTATCTACCTGAGTTTCTAACACTCTGCAGATTCACTTATCTGAAAATCTGACTTCCTTATTTTTTATGTGTGCTTTGTTAATCAGCGACAGCCATTTTTGTGAGCAAGATCAAACAAATCAATTTATTGATTACTATAGGGTGTAATGGAAATCGTCAACTCATTATGCAAACACTTGCCTAATGAACAATTTCCAGGGAACCCATTGTGTGTGTAATGTGGGGCCTGTGTGTAGTTGAAATTTGCATCCAACTTAACTTTTATTTCTTCTAGGGGGAAATTTGCAGTAGTAAAAAAGTGTGTAAAGAAAGAAACTGAAAAAGAATTTGCAGCAAAATTCATGAGGAAAAGAAGAAAGGGCCAAGATTGCCGGATGGAGATAATTCATGAGATTGCAGTTCTGGAACTGGCACAACGAAATCGTTGGGTTATTAACTTGCATGAAGTATATGAAACACCAACAGAAATTATTTTGGTTTTGGAATAGTAAGTATTAATTTCATTATAATCATGTGGTGGGTTTATAAAATGACAGGATTTATCATTAACATATTTTATTCAAAAGCAATGCCAAATTTTTGCCCCATTTTTGGAGCTCTTGTTAGTTTTTCAAAATGGTGCATAACCAGGTGTGTGTGTGTATTGTCTTAACATTTCATCCATAGCAACTTAATGCTACCAATGACACTGACTTTGCCAGGATTTCAGCAAAATGGAGTGTATAGCTTTAAGGTTCTAAACACTGGAAACCAGTCCATAGCATGGAAAGGATTGGTTGATACTGGTTGATAGCCCATTGACTTCAGTGGGAGTTTACTCTCTGTAGGACTGCAACCTCAGAGCTGAAACCTTGAAGGAAGTTGAAAGGAGAAGTTAGTGGGTCCTCAGTCTGATGGGGCTCCTAACTAGTGTTTGAAGAGAACTCACCAAGTAAAGTGTCCTTGGGGTTCTAGAGGTATGAGGTTTACAGCAGTACTATTATCAAATACGTCTTTAAGGATGTTTTATTCTAAGAGAATAATTATAGGCTTCAAAAAGATTCGTCACTAACCAGATTCCTAATGTTCCTGGAACATACTGACTCACTGAAGCATAACTACTATTAATTGTAGAAAGTTCCTATTTTCATGCTTAGATATATGACTGAACTAGGAAAGCAATGCTTGTCTCTGTTTGGTGCAGTTTTTTAGTACAGTAACCATAAGTCCCTGAGAATTTGGAGACTAATATCACAGTGCTCTGCATTGTTTTGTTTGTTCTTTAATCACATCCTACCTGTCTATGAAATGGTGCTCAAGAATGTTAACAGCAGTAAAATACATAGCAGAATGCACAATAAGACAGTTACACATGAATAAAAACATCCAATTTCTTTTTAATCATTTATTTTTAGTAATCATAATTGCTGGATAAATAAATGACTGGCTGCAGTATTTGCACACCCCAACTAGGGCTGAGCAATACCTGGTTTTCGACATTGTGATATATCAACCAACGTTCAAAATTAGCTGTGTGCTGTGCTGTTGGGTGAATCGGGTATTTGGCAGGGTAGCACAGTAGCAAAATATGTGGGGGGTTTTCCTGCAGGGCTGCTTGGTCTGGTGGTGTTGTTTAGTCGTATCCGACTCTTCGTGACCACATGGACCAGAGCACGCCTGTCTTTCACTGCCTCCCGCAGTTTGGTCAAACTCATGTTTGTATCTTTGAGAACACTGTCCAACCATCTCGTCCTCTGTCGTCCCCTTCTCCTTGTGCCCTCCATCTTTCCCAACATCAGGGTCTTTTCCAGGGAGTCTTCTCTTCTCATGAGGTGGCCAAAGTACTGGAGCCTCAGCTTCATGATTTGTCCTTCCAGTGAGCACTCAGGGCTGATTTCCTTAAGAATGGATAGGTTTGTTCTTCTTGCAGTCCATGGGACTCTCAAGAGTCTCCTCCAGCACCATAATTCAAAAGCATCAATTCTTCGGCGATCAGCCTTCTTTATGGTCCAGCCAGGTCTGGTAATAATAATAGTGCCTAGACATTTTCTTTTGGCGCTCACAGTTTGGGGACTGGATCGGTAAAACAGAAGCTAGTCCTGATGCTGTGGAATTATTTTTTTTATTCTGTCTATATTCAGATGACTTTTCTCAAAATCATAACACTAACTGAGCCAAGCCATGGATTAACCTTGGGGTAGCACAGCAGCAGAAAGAGTAGGGAAGGAGCAAAGCATCCATTATTTTTCATCTTGAGTACCAGTACACTTGCTCTTTCATGCTTAGTCATGGTTTTGCTTAGCAATTCATTTGGACTAGGTCACTGAATGGCTAGGTAGGCTACCAGAATACTGAAAAGCTGTTTATTTACCAGTTAGACCTATTTAAGGCAAGCATACACATTTCACATACTCTGTGAGCAATAAGGCTATTGGAGTGAATTGTTGGGTATTATTTCTCTTCTCTAGAAAAGTTTAAATATATCTGTTTTTCCTCAGTGCTGCTGGAGGAGAAATATTTGACCAGTGTGTAGCTGAAAGAGATGATGCCTTCAAGGAAAAAGAGGTTAAGCGTCTCATGAGGCAAATTTTAGAAGGTGTTTCATTTTTGCATCGAAATAATGTAGTTCACCTTGACTTGAAGGTAAGATGTGGTTTAGAAGTATGGAGGCAATATGAAGAACCAAATTTGTAGTTCAGAGTGGGGGACCATTTCCAGAACCCGCCCCACCCTATGGACCATTTTAGACAGTTAGGTGGTCACCCAGCTATCAGTTTACATCATGTCAGCTGCTCAAATCTAAATTTGGGCAGAGAATTAAAAGGCAGCAAGCAGCAAAGCCTACTGCAGTTCAAAGAGCAGACACAGGCTTACCTATTATCTTGGTGTTGTAGCAAATTTTAAGCCATTAGGACTGCTGTGGATTTCTTAATAGATTCTGCTAATACTACCTTTATTCATTTATTTTCAGCCCCAGAATATTCTGCTAACCAGTGAATCACCGCTGGGAGATGTTAGAATAGTTGACTTTGGCCTCTCCAGAGTAATGAAGAATAGTGAAGAACTAAGAGAAATTATGGGAACACCTGAGTATGTGGGTAAGTTCTTAGCAAGTCACTAATGTGATAATGGGCAAGCAGTAATGGGGTAATCCAAATATTTGGATTAAAGTATCATAGTTTCAAAAATGCATGTTCTCTTCAAAGACCTGGTAATTAAGTTGTGGCTTAATTAAGTGATTCGGAATATCCAAGAACACACTTTAAGAAACATATACAGAATTAGTGCAAGCTACCTTTATTAGTTCTCAAGCTTCTGATACCATCATTGGTAAAAGCTACAGAAGTAGGTTGATGATTCTATACTACTGGCATCTGTATCTTAAATTGTTCACATTTTTAGTAGAATGCATAGCAACCAGCTCTATTTTCCCCCCTACAATAGCTCCAGAAATTCTGAGTTATGATCCAATCAGCACTGCAACAGATATGTGGTAAGGAGAGCTCTTTATTGAATAGTTGTTTTGTAAACTGCAAGTTTTCCTCTTAAGAAGCTTATGTGTGTGTGGTTTTTTTATTTTATTTTAGGAGCATTGGAGTGCTAGCATACGTTATGCTCACAGGAGTATCACCTTTCTTGGGAAATGATAAACAGGAAACATTCTTAAATATATCTCAGATGAATGTTAATTACTCTGAGGATTTTGACCTTATATCTGAATTTGCTGTGGATTTCATCAAATCTCTTCTGGTTAAAAAGCCTGAGTAAGTTATATTTAAAAGTTTTTTGCTTCATTGCTTTAAACCATACAGGACACAAATAAAATTCAGTTCAGTTGAAACACTGCTGGTTTATGAAACCATGATTATGGAAGCCAGGTGTGTGTGCATCAGTCCCGTGGGCTACTTCCATAAAATGCTGGCTTGTGCATGGTGATCTTGGCTTATTTTTAAATCTGGAGTTCTGAAATGGGGAACTCTGGTTTAATGGCAGCTAGCTAACTAGGGTATTAAACCAGGATCCTAATATTAATAAACCATGGTCTATGAAGGTGGCAGCATTAACATTCAAGCCAGGCCATTGACGGTGATTAATTTTTTTGCAGATTACCCACAGTAGCATGGGCCACATTGTTCCTGATACAGCACAGATCTCTATCATTTGACAATTTCTCACTTTTTAATGTACTATAAGGTCTGAGTTCTTCATAAAAGTATGCTTCCATAAATTTATAGAGGTGTTCTATGAATTTTAAACATTGTCTTTGAATGTTTCAATATCAATGTCTTTGAATTAAAGAAGTTTTCCCGCCTTTTAAAATCCCCCCCCCGAAATAAACAAAATTTAATTACACATTACTCCATAAGTTCTTCTAGTAATGTTGCAGTATTTCTTGTACTGCAGGAGCTAATGCAGCATAGCAAGTGAAAAACATCCATTTACTGCTGACCTGCTAGCTATTTGAATAGTTAGTAAACGCTTGAATTTACAAGCAAGTTGGAGGCCCCACCTCTTCACATGCTTGGCTTTGAAAAGCCACTCAGGCATCCACAGGCTACTGTTCTAAACATGTTCTATAGGTTGCTGGCTAATTGCAGTTACAATGTATTTCAGGAAATTGTCTCTGATTTTTGCATCAGAAGTGAATTTAGCTATTCTTCAGTAGTTTTGAAGCCTAAACTAGAAAACTTGCTCAAAGGATATAACTGCTATGATATTGGTAAAGTAGCTGAACTCTTTGGAGAGGAACGTTCAAAATATTTAGAATTCTTGAAGATTGTACATTTCTACAGATTCATATACAGTACTACTTGTGGCTTCATGTGACCATTCCAAAGTGAACACTACTGAAAATCCATTTCAGCTTTTAAAACCCACTTGTGGACTGTATCTTAACATTAGGAAAATCCAAAATCTTCACATTGAAGTAGAAATATTCTGAAATTTGTGAAGGGGCTCTCAAGGTCCACTTGCTCTCTAGTGATCTGAAATGTGAGCCACATAAAACAGTTGTCAGATGGAGGCAACAAAATTGTATCTAGATGCAGTTGTCTACCGTTGCTGACCACGTAGCTTGGTAAAAGATTTTGTAAAAGATTTATGTGGAAGACTTGCAACAATTTGGCCAGTCCAACTGACAAGTTGCTGCACAAATACCCTTCTCTGCCTGATAGATGCAATTTTGAGCAGCCAGCTGCCTAACTAACTATTTTGTATGAGGTGGACCTGAGCCTGCCCTCTGTACAAAACATACTATAAGCAAGTAATTAATGCAACATCTTTTTCACTGCATGGAGACTATTATGAAAAGGGTTAAACATGGCTTTGACAAGATGGAACTGCCAGATTTGCATCTGAATGCATGTTAAGCACAGATCAGTTTAATGATGAATCTCTAGTGGGAGGAAACTGTTGACATAATGGATAATGTGTTCTGAACTGGATTTTTAGCATTTCATCCTTTTGGCCAGTCTTTTTGAGCAAGTGTTCCCTCTTTTCTGTCTAGGGAACGGGCAACAGCAGATGAATGTTTGGTACATTCTTGGCTAGCACAAATAGATGTTCCTGATACTATATACTGGATAAAGAACACAGAGGAAGCAAACACTGTTGTTGTAAATGAAGAAGCTTTTACTTCTGAAAATTCTACAGATGAAGAAAAAACAGAAGAGTCATTAGTGTCAGAAGAGCTGATTGTAGTAGCTTCATATACACTGGGCCAATGTAGGCAATCGGAAAAAGATAAAATTGTTGAACAGAAGACCATTTCCAAGCGCTTTAAATTTGAAGAACCATTGCTGCAAGAAATACCTGGAGAATTTATTTACTGAATTGCAACTTGTTTCTGCTCTTTTGAGACCTTGAAACATTAACTTGGGAGACCAATTTATGTATTGCCAAATGTACATTTATATGCAAATACATTCCTTGATAAAGTAGGATTCAAAAGTCACATGAGAAAACTGTGCCAAACATCTTAATTTTTGTGGAAGTGGTTTGTGTATGCTTACCTTAATTGGTCAGGCAGCATTGCAGGATGACACCCACCCACCCCACCATGATCTGGCAGCGGACTGTGTCTCGAGGGGTTTTCTCCAACTAGCACGATGAAAATTGAGTCGTTGCACTGGCAGGGGAAGCAGATCGCAGCCTTCCCAAAATTGGTCAGTCGTTGCAGGCTGCTTGGCTAGCTGGTCCACCTCTGGGGTACTTCACTTGGGCCAGTTTTCCACCTCCTTGTATGGCACCAAAAATAATTTGGATATGCAGCCACAGAGTTGGGCATGTGTGCTTGCTTTTTCATCTTCCTGGGCTGCCGACTTGGTTTAACATCCAGTGTCCAGATTACGTGGCTGGGCCACAGGAGTATGTGTTGGGAACAACTTACGCCTTTCCCGTCCTCTAGAATGAAAGCCTGTTGTCTAGATCTGTTAGTCATCCAGCTGGGCAAAAATGACCTGTACCCATGGAAAGGCGCATAGACCTGATTTTGGCCATCGTGGATAACCTCAAGGCTCTAAATGAACTATACCCTAAAATGGCCAATGGCTAGAGGCACGTCAGTGGTGGCATATTCTGAAACTCGCTAAGATTACCAAGGCAAGGAAGGTGGTAAACTGCAGTGGTGCACAGAATTGAGGCAACTGGCAGAAGGGTGATTTGGCACCCAGACATCACTTTTGACAAAGATGTGCTTTTCAGGCATGATGGTGTGTACCTGTCAGGCATGGGTAATGATGTCTCAAATGCTCTCAAAATATCATTGAGGGCCTTAGGTCCTGGTTGCAGATGTAGGGGGTTTTGCAACCAGCCAAGTTTGGCTTGAGTGGTGGTTTAGGCATTGGGGTAAGCCTTTGTCTTTGGTGGAGAGGGGGGTGTAGCCTCTGCCTGCTCCTCCAGTATTCAGGGGTGACCCCTTAAAGGGATCTGGTAGGAGTCGCATCTCTCCAGAAGCCCAGGCTGGGGCTAGGGCCATAGCATCCTCAAGGCGGCAGCCCTGCAGGGGATTCCTACTTGATGTGTGTGCCTAGGGTTGACCCCTAACAGGTATACCCCAGCAGGCATGCTGGTAGTTCAGTGGTTATACCCCATGCATATGCTAAACCTCTACATCTGTAACCAGTAAGGTTGTGGCCCAATTTTACCCTAAGCAATGTTGTCCTGTTTATTCGGGTGATGGGTGTGCGGGGAGGGGTGCCTGTGCCATGCAAGTTAAATGCCATTACAGAAAAAAACAGAAAGCAGTAGTTCTTTTTTCTTCTCCTGTTGGTATGTGTAAAGCTTTTGTACTATATCCTGTGTTTTAACTATTCATGGTTGGGGTTGCTGTCCCAGTGCACGTGACCATTGATAAGTATCCCACTTGTTTGGACAAGCTGATAAACATTGATTTTCACCAAGTGCAGCAAAGTATCAAAATATGGTTATGCCCAAATTCTAAGTTGCTATTAGACGTAGCTATAGACTAATCCAAAGTCCTGAACCACTGTGCTGGGCAGGATTTGGATGTGGCAGACGTCCCTCTGCTGGGCTTTGCTGGGCCTACTGAAATGGTGGGTGGTACAACTGCAGGCTGTAGCCAGTAGTAGAACCTCCAAAATGAGCTGGCTCTTGGGTAGGGAGGGAGTGGAGCTGGTGAAAATAAGCACTCCTCCCATTACTTCTCCCCTGGCCAGCATGAGCCGCAGTGCTTTGGATGCGGTGGTAGCCCCACTATTCCACTTAGCCTGCTCCTCCTGGCTGAGAGTTAGGATTGCTCCATAAGCTGGTTTCTTTTCTTTATGCTGGTTTAAGTCTTCTATCGCAGAGCATAAACTTTTATCATTGTTTCCAGCACAAATTAAAAAGGCAAATTTTCAAGTGCTGTGTGTGTCTGTCCCATTACCTTTCAGTTTGCATTGTACAGTAGTAAACTTGGTAAAATATTTGAGTTTTTAAATGTACTTCTAACAAGGCCAGCTTGATCTTGGTTGGCTGCTTGGAGACTTTGCTGTACTCTGTTATATTAACTTGCTGTGCCTTAAGGTTGGCTTTGTGCAGTTCACAAATCGTTGCAAGTTTGTATAATGATGTGGAAGTCTAATGTAAGTTATAAGCAAAATTTAAGTAACTCTGTATTGGAAAAAGTAGCTAATACGTAGGGATGCCAATTAATTCCACAAGCGTAATACTGTCAATCTGAAATGCTACAGTACAAAAATTAACCTTATGAAAAATGTAAATAAGTGCCTGTATAAAGTAGGAAGGGGAAATTCTCCAAATGTAGAAAAAGGGATTCTGGGCTCTGGTTCCTGTAGCTGCAGTTCATAATGTTCTGAAATGAGTTGTCCTTTCTCATAAGCTATGGTGCTTTTCTTACAGGAACTACTGAGTTTCTGAGAAGCAGCACATGGGTTTAGCTGGATCAATTGCAAATTACCACCTCTAGGTATCAGATACCTGGGATGGCAGAGTTAAATTAGATTATGATCAACTCCTTCTAAGTACTCTATAGTTATCTAAGGGAAAGATGAAATGAGATCCAAAGCAAAATTAGTCAGACCAATTTTAAGTTATAGTAACGTAAAGAAGTGCTGTGCCTTTAAATATTTCTGAAAACTCCTGGCAGATGTATGCTTACTGTGTGCCTTTAAACACACAAGATCGGTTGGCAAATGTGAAACCATTTGCTTTAATGTAATAAACTGGTTTTTCCTGTTCTTTGATTATGTTTTTTAGCACTTACCTACTGTAACATTACATTTAAAAAAAAATGTAATAAACTCCACAAGTCTTAGGGAGCCCTTAATTCAAGTGGTTTTCTGTTCCTCATAAGTGCTAAAGCGAAGTAGCTGGAATCCCAAAGCTTTGCCATCAAGTATTGTAACTGGAGCATTTAATGGCTTCATTGCCTGTTCTTTGCCTTTCGAAAACCATTGCCACCTTCTGATAGCTGACTGTAGCATTTGTTTCAGCAGTGTCCAGTGTCTACTAAAAAGCAAATGTTACACTGTGCAGGTAGGAGACAGCCCTTTATTTTCCATGAAGTTCAGTTGAAGTCTGAGAGTAGTCCAGAACAACTGTGAAACAGGTTGAGGATTGCAACTGCTGCCACAAGTCAATAGAGAAAACTGTTTTCATTAGTGTGGTGCTATATCAGAAGAGGGTTACTTTGTCGTAATTGCTTTTCTTCTGTCAACACACCAGTAGGAATTCAGATAAAAGCTGCATTTCTTTCCTTGAACTGGCTAGAATTCAACTTGTTTCCCTGACTTCAGCATGTTATTTTAAATTCTGTTAGCATATTGAATATTCAACAGCTGAATCAGTTTATTTGCTCTACACTAGCACTGCCTTCTCTTTGTAGCTAGAAATTATTCTGTGACCATTGGGCTTAATCAGCTCATGATGCAAGGAATAACACAATTGAAAAGTGCTGCTAATGGAAGTAGATGAATGACAGTGAAATGTCCACTTGCCATCCATTCCTTAAACATCAGTCTAATTAACAATGAGAGCAATATCTAGTCATTTGGAAAATGTATGTGACATCTTTAATTGTTCACACTCTGTAATATATTCAAATATTAAGGTGGTTAATAAATGAGTTCACCTTTGTGAAACTTTTAAACTCCCCCCCCCCAAGGCAGCATCTTTTGTTGGCAGCTTTTTTTCTAACAGTAAAGGGATAGTGGCATGTACTTTATGAAATAGCATGTGCTTTGTGAATTAGTGTAGGATTAAGGTGGCATGCACTCTTGAAGTAGCAATATGTTGGCAACAAATCAGCTAGCTTATTTTTTTGAGTTAGGCTTTGCTTCCAGGGGCCATTTGTATGGGATGGTGCTATACTGTCCTTAATGTTACTTATAAAGCAAGTGTGGGGAGCTTTTGGTCTTCCAAACCCAGAAAGCATGGCCTAATGGCCAGGGGTGATGAGAATTGAATGTTCTGTAACACCTGGAGAGCCAAAGGTGTATAACTCATCTGTTAAATGCACAGCAGCCTCCAGAACAGATATGAGTCTTATTCTGTCCTGTGATCAAAAGGCTTTTATTATGTAACCAGAACCTAAAAGGCCAGAACTGGTTGTGCACAGGGAAACCCCCTACTATGCTACCTTGATAAAGTTGAAGAAACCTGTTGCTACAGGAAGCCACCCAATATTTTTTGCAGAGGATAGCTTTTTTTCAAAAGGATGTTGAAAGCTAAAAGCTTTGGGTATGCCCTATGTGGTAGAATATCCTTCTACATAAGAGCAGACCCTTGTGGATGTCCAGACCAAGCCTTTTGGCTCCCAATTTTTACATCTCCTGCTGAGAAGCATCCTTCTGTGACGATAGGTAGACTGGAACACTTTGGCCATTACGGAGCTGCAGTGTGACTTCTTGCAGACGCCAGCTATCCAACCACAGAAAGATGGGGGAAGAAATCCAGTAATTAGTATTTAATTAGAATAAGTTTGCTAATGTAGTATTTTCTTAACATCACAATGACATCAAAAGGCTTGGGAAATGCTACCATTAAGGAACTAGGGCTGGGCGATAACAGCTTTTCAACATCGTGATGTATCACCAGTCAAACATTGCGATATAGTGATACGTTGCAATGTTGAAAAGCAGAGGGAGGAACAAGTTTCATTGGCCCCAGCCCTGTGAAGCACCAGGCTGAAACACTGTAACGTTACCATATTATCCAGCCAGAATTTGCTTCCAAACTGATAGAAGAAATGATCTTGGTGGAAGCACCTAATAGCAATTCAGCTGACACCTTGGCTTAATTTATGCATGTAGATGCATGTAGATTGCATGTAGATTGTCTACTGGCAATGCAACTGCATCCATGGCAGAACTGCAACCTGTTTCACAAAGGTAACTTTTTGTAAATGGCACTTAGTCCATACTTGATGCACTTAATAATCTCCTAGCACACACCTGTTAAGGGTGAAGTCCTTCTCTGAACAGACATGAAGATAACCAGCTGACTTTGTTCCAGATACTGGTATCCTTAACTGTAAATGCAAAAGTCAAATTCTTATGATTTTTTGTTAAATACATCCCCCACCCACCCACAGAGAAGTAAGTCAAACAAAGCAAAATTCATATTTAATAACTTATAACTCAGAAAAGGATTTAAATTATCCATTTTCTTGAAGTTCCAAATTATATCAGGATGACAACCATGCAGGCATTTAACTAAGCACAACAAGCCATTTATCCTTTGCACATTCATACAAATAATTCCTTATTAGGTCACACATAAGCTTAAGTCTTTACTGCAAAAGAATGGGCGAATCCAGTCTAGGTTTTTAGTAGCTGTTGAAAGCTCTGCTTGTTCCATTAAGACAGTTTGGGAGACCTGTGACCTTCCAGAAATTAAGACTCCCAACTCCCATCATCCCCAGCCAACATGAGCAACAACCACTGATGATGGGAGTTGTAGTCTGGAAATATCTGAAGGGCCACTGATCCTCCCCCCTTGGTGTAGTACAATCTGCACTCAATTTGGTTATTATTTTGCTAGACTGCTAGTTGGGCTTTCTTGTGTGTGACTAGGGAGTCCCTCTAAGGGTACTCATTCCCATTTGCGGACACATCCAACAGAGACTATATTAGCATAATACAAACTGCCTTGCCGGACCATTGGCCTGTCTAACCCAATACCATGTAAGTCAAATGGCACAGCTCTCCAAGACCTGCAGAAGATATTCTAATAATAGAAAGCCTGCTTCAACAACAACAAGAAGAAGATGATGTTGGAGATTGAATCTGGGACATTTTGCATGAAAAGTATATATTCTGGTACTAGGCTACAAACCAGTCCCCAGCACTGAAGCACTACTTCATCATATGCACATTCAGCTCTCTGCTGCTGGGCAAATTCTTTGATAAATCCAGACTTTTAAGTAAAGCTGATGTATAAGATCTGCACCAAGTTGATGTGGTTACTGTTTATTAGACAAGGCTGATTTAAAGCAGATAGGTTATGAGAAAATGTGTAGATTGAAATAGTAGTGTCTTAATGGTATATGGAATCCTAGCCTATTAACATTGCAGCATAATAATTTTATGCTGAGATAGCTGATGGCACAACAGACAACATCTTCAAACATATTCTAAGAAATCCTGTGGTCAAGCTATAATGTAGAGCACTCCTCCCCATTGCTTCTCTTCTCTCACATCAGGTCTTAATTCAGCCGGTATTACCTGAGCTCTTGACATGTCAACACAGTTGGTCTTGTCAGTCAGCCTGATGTAATGTACTTCAAGAGGAGGAGCACCAAGTGCCTCCAGGGCGGCTGAGTCTTTATGAAGCTGCTCAAGAGCCTGCTGATAGTACTGTGTTCTGGCAAAATTCTCTGGAGCAAGGAGAAAAGACACAAACAAGTTATTGTATCAATATTAAACAGAAATGGAATAGTGGTAAATATTAGTCAAAGAATGGTGTCTAATTGCCTTGACAGGTACCAAAGCCACAGTGGCCATGGCACTGCCCTTTCTACTTTTATCTACAGATAACCTAAATTTGAAGGTTTCCTTGTTATTTCAAAATATATAATCAAAGGCGACAGATGACTGCAGTTATACTTACTCATTCCAAATGTGTAAGGCCTGTTTAAAATGTATGTACATGGCCTACACAAGTAACATTGATACTGGGAGCTATGCCTGGAACAGACAGCGTTATCCAAAAAACACTGGGGAGTCAGAAAACCAGCCTCTTGTGCAGGTGAAGATAATTCTGCTGGTACAAATCATGACTATATTCCACCCACTGCCAATAGCAGTCTCAGCCACAAAGTGCATTAGTCTTTTCTAATAATTTTTACAGACAGGTCTGTGTAATGTCACATTTCTAAGATACTGAAGAAAAGGTGTAAAATGTGACACTTGGTGCAAAATTAAGCTTCTCAAAAGTGTTTGCTTTCTTTTCTTTTTTTAGTACAAGTTTCTGGTTATAGCTGTGAATGATTCCTTGAAAGTGTGTGGCCAATGACTGTTGAAATTTCAGAAGCACAAATGAAAGCCAGTAGTTGAATAATATTTCCAGAGGATAAGAGCAGCATTTTAACACTGCATAAGATTGTCTGCTGCTCCCAGTGATGGGACAATTCAATGAATTATACAAAATAGTAAACATTGCAGAATATGCAAAATAAGAGCAATTACATAAAGTTGCTTAATTTTTACAAGTTGAACTCAACATTTGGGGCACAAAATTTAGGTCGCATGGTTGTAGACTTTTGTTTGTTTTTAGCACTGTTACTGTATACAGAGCATAAAATTGACTTGAAAGTTTAAGGGGTCAAGTCATATTATTTCCACTACCACCCCTGTCTCTAAACAGTAACATAGGAAACCATCTTATACCAAATTAGACCTTAGTCCAACAAACTTAGTGTTGTCTACACTGGTTTGCAGAAGCTCTCCCAAGATTTCAGAAAGGAGTTTTTCCTGTCATTCCTGCAAGCGACAGGGATTGCATCTGGGTTGCTTTGCACTCCCCCACTCGGCCACACCCCTTCCTATTAATGATTATATATAGCAGGGAACCTGCAGCCCTCCAGATATTGTTGGACCACAACTCCCACCCCATACACCCCTGCCCACTGGCCATGCTGGCTAGACCTGATGGGAGTTGGAGTCCAACAACATCTGAAGGCCACAGATCCCTTACCCCTGTTTTAGATGTACTGAAGATGACAGACAGGGATACTACTTCAGAAGACTACTTTATGTACAATTGCCTTGCAAGCAAAAAACTAGCACTGAAGGGAGGAACGTTCTTCTCTAGTAACTACTGGTTTTCTATTCACAGAATTTTTAGCATGCTGGAAATTCAAAGATGTGATTTGCAACTTGCATTCTACCAACCCAATGCTCTTCCATCTCATTCTGCTGAACTTGATTCTGCTGATCAGGGTTAACTTACTAACTGTGATGAAACTTACTTTGTATGTAGTAATACATAAGAGCACTTCCTCCACCAGACACAACCGCCAGATAAAGAGCCATTTGATGAAGTTTTCTCAAGGATGCTGGCATGTTTTGTTCCCTAAGGGGAAAGAAGGATCAGAAATAGATTTATTGTATATTAGCAAAACAAGGGAATGTTGCCAAAGCCCTTTCAATATTCCAGCAAAATAGGCCTGAATGAAAGCCCTATATGCACCATTCAGCATTTTTGAGGGCCCCATGGTTCACTCAGATGATATCTAGATGAGAATTGAGCAGGGGCTGCTCACCTCAGCCGGAATATGTTCATCTGTTTCTTTTAGGGATGCTGCTGCTTCACTAATTGCCAAGCAGAAAATAACTCGTTTGGTGCAGCCAGCAGCCAGAAAAGCAGCATATTGTTCTGCAGGTTCCCATAAGTGCTAAATAAAACACAGGGGAGTATTATTCAGGTTTTAGGGAGGCTAGTGAAATGTCACCCTGAAGTAAAGAAAGTAAACCTTATGAGTGAATTTCGCTACGAAGGTATGGGGAGGGATAAATAAGCCACGTGTCCAGTAACCCCACAGTTGCCACATTTTAGCAGCTTTCACTTGCGTGTTCACAAAGCAGAAGTGAAAAACAGGAAGGTTTTGCAACGGTCTCTCCCCTCATCCTTTTAGTCTTCTGTCCTGCCCTTTTCATGTGGACCACATATTTGTCATTTTGTTCTGTCATGCAGACAGATGACAAATACACAGTGAAAGTAAAAGGGCATGAGTCTGACTAGCAGAGAATACCATTAAACAGCTGAGTACAGGAGGTTACAGCTGTTCCTTTGTTTAACAGCTTACTGTGTTAATTGTATGACAGGCTCTTATCCACCTCTGTGCAGTATGTAAACAAGCAGGACTTGGATAACTATGAAAGTTGTAAATATTTTCAGTGATTTATGTGTATAAATCACAGGAATCCAAGTAGCAGAGTGAACAAGGCACACTGTCCTTTATCTAGGTCTCCTTTAAGCAGAGACCTGTGGCCCACCAGCTGCTGCTAGGCTGCATCTCCCATCAACCCCAGCCAACGTGGCCAATGGTCAGAGATGGGAGTTGTGATCCAGCAACATCTGGAGGGCCACAGGTTCTGCCAACCCCGCCTTTCAGAGTAAATGCATGCTGTTTATAAGTAATCATTTACCAAAAAAAAACCACCATAAGCACAGCATAATTGAAACAGATTTATAAACTACCATCTCTAGATGAATCATAGTACCATTCTGCATCTGAGGCTATGTGGACAATCCCAATTAAATCAGAAAGAGTCACAGGATCAGCCACATCTATGAGACTGCAATATTCAGGACACTCCACAGCAGAAGCTTTGTCTGCATAAACCACACTGATATGGAATTAACTGCAACTCTCATTAGCTTGGATGGGGCTTGTCTAAAAATATTCTCAATAGATCATGTCCCATGTTCCAAATAACAGTGACAGAAATGCACTGGTCTGTTGAAGGGGGACAGCTGTTTACAGGAAAGAAGTCCCTCAAGTCAGGTGTTTCTTCATCTGGTGAGTTCTACCTTATGTGAGTGGAATAAGAGGAAACACTAGTACATAAACATAGCAATCCTTTCTCCTTCAGAATATCTTGGGGGGAATGAAGGATACAAAAGCACCCCTAACTAGAATTTAACTTTCTTTTGTGTGCAGCAAGAGGCAGGGTGTACAAAAGGACAGAAGACTATCATCATGATGATGTGCCTACCTTTTTACATTCCTCCTTTACAGTTTGTTTGATCTTCTTAGTCAAAAACAGCTAATCTGAAATAAAAAACAGGATTTTTCAGCTCCTCTGCAACAGTAATATTTCTGTTTCCTATAGAAGAAGAAGTAGGAGCAGATGACAAGACCTAACTACTACTTTGGGAGCCAGAAAACATCTCATGTGTATATTCTGAAACATCTGTGCCTCATTTTTTATTCTGGCTTATTCCCTCTTCCAGTCTACCTTCTCTATCTTGTCATTTTTTGTCTTAGAAAGTTATATCTTATTCATTCATAATTGACTCATGCAGGATGGAGTCGGCAAAACGTTTTCTTGAAGGGGAACAGCCACAGAAGATTGAAACAATTGGAGAGCACAGAGAAAAGTAATGGTAGCTTTGTGTGATAAGGAACCAAGGCCTTATCCTTCCCTCAGAAGGTTGTGGACTCTTTTTAAAGCAGAGGCTGGATGGCTAGCTGTCATGGATGCTGAGATTCCTGTAATGCAGGGGTTGGACTAGATGACCCTTGGGTTCCTTCCAACTCTACAATTCTTTGATTCTAAGTAGCCTTCCTCACACCCAAGAAGATTCTGGCGAAGTTGGAAACAAGACATGAACTTAAGGAATCCTAATGTCATCGTAACAACTACATGCTAAAAATATATATATTTGAACTGCCCTCTCTGTAAGTATCCTTTCCCTTGATGGAAACGGGTGCTTCCCACAGATTTTCCTGCAGCCTTTGTGGTACATCTACCTAAGTCTTTAACCCTTCTCCTCCTCATGCCTCTCTTCTCTACAGAAAGGCATCTGAGAAAAGAGTTATTGCAGAGAAGTGCTAGAAATCCCTTAGGAAAGCAATCTCTGGAAAACACTCATTCAAGGGTCCAACTCCTTTTTTACTTGGTTCCACAAAAAAACAGAGAAACACCCACATCCAAAATATCCTGTTTGTGTTTTGGCGTCCTGACTTCCTTCAAGGATGCTGACTAAATTCTTGCCTTCCCTCAGGCTACCTCACCTCTTCAAATCAGCCCCACCCAGATTATTTTGGCATCTTTGAAAGCAGTGTCTCTAAAGTGGATTTCAGCCCACGTTGGGCTACTGGAAACCTTAGTGATAGCTTTCTTAGAAAGTAAGGCTTCAGCAGAACTGCTGTCAAACATCTTATTAAATGTCACAATGGAAACTAATGGCCACTGATGTAGAAAATGGAAAACCATTTCCTTTCTTTAGTCTATATTGGTATCTTTCTCAGGTGACACTATTTGCATGACTAACTTTGCTTGCTCATAAGAGAGTCATAAGACAGTGCCTGAGACATCCTCACCTCCTAGTATGACGCCACATACTTGGTATGTTGCTTTCAGAAACAAGGCCTAGAAGTGCCATACAACATTTGTTTCTGAGTAAAATCAAAGGTTAGGAGTTGACAAACATTACTTGCTGGGGACTATTGACAACTTTGCGAAAAACAATGAAATCTATTTTTGCCCATCTTACATATTGTTGCATGTCATCCCAATCTCTGCTTGGTGTGAGATTCCAGGGGTTCCAGACACCCAGGGTTTGTGTTTCCTTTGGAAATGAGGCACAGCAGAGACTGTGGTAGTTTTATGATATATGGTTTATTTACACATATTTATTTATTTACACCAGAGTCTAGGACGCGGGTGGTGCTGTGGGTTAAACCACAGAGCCTAGGACTTGCTGATCAGAAGGTCGCCGGTTCGAATCCCCGTGACAGGGTGAGCTCCCGTTGCTCAGTCCCTGCTCCTGCCAACCTAGCTGTTCGAAAGCACGTCAAAGTGCAAGTAGATAAATAGGTACCGCTCCGGCGGGAAGGTAAACAGCATTTCCGTGCACTGCTCTGGTTCGCCAGAAGCGGCTTAGTCATGCTGGCCACATGACCCGGAAGCTGTACGCCGGCTCCCTTGGCCAATAAAGCGAGATGAGCGCCGCAACCCCAGAGTCGGCTACGACTGGACCTAATGGTCAGGGGTCCCTTTACCTTTACCACCAGAGTCTACAATGGAGGGGTTCACAGCATTAACACCCCCAAGAGGGCCTTGCCTGTCCCATAGCCACAGCCTTGGATTCCAGCAGAAATCAGGCATGGCTCTCTCTCAGCCGCCTAACCTGCAGCCTTGCTTCTACCTTCAACTACACACAACTCAACTCTCCAACTCTGGCCTTTCTGGTTCCCATTCTTTCCCCATTTAAAAGGCAGCTGTAGGAGAAAAGGATTTGGATCAGCGCCTGGAGGGAATTCTTTAAAAATCCTTTCTCCCCGTGCTGATTACTGGATTTGTGTGGAGGGAAATGTGCAGGTATTAAAAAGCAGCAACCACATGCTTGAAGGGCCCCTCAGTATTTTATGTGACTGGGCCAAAGTCATGGGGTGGGGGCTATGATGGCTGCCCCTGCTAAGCAATATGCCATGCTAAGCACTACAAGGGATTGGAGTAGATCAGAGAAACAAAGAAGGTGCAAGCAGGCAGTGGAGAACATTCACAGGCTCCTCCTTGCAATAGAGACGGCTCTTAAACCCTAGTCCTGGATTTAATTATTGTCTTGCTGCTCCCAAGGATCCTTAGCAGGTTCAGCAAAACAGAATGGCCAACAACCATAAGTGATAGACATTTCCATGTGCTTGTTCTCTCACCTTCCCACCTTTCATTTGCCAGTTCATGGCACCCTGTTTTTCAATTCCACTCGTTCACACCATGTTGGTGGTACCTTTAGCATTTGGTTAAGATTAGCACTTACCCTTTCCGCCACGCACGCATATAATGCTGCCCAAACATACTTCCCCAAGTAGAAAAAGAAACTGAATATATAAAGCTGGTTATTAATATTCACTCAGTCTATTTAGGTTTGTGCTGAATGTCCATCAGTTTTGATACTTGCGTAAGAATTAACCATTCAAAGTAGCCAAGCAAATTATCAGGCATGGTGGGTGGGAGGAGACCCTCACTATGTAAAACATTCACCTAGTTTTGATGCCCTTTCTGCCCCGTCAGCTGATCCTTCTTGATGCCATCTTTCCTCTTTCTTCGCCACACCGTAATTTGATCCAAACTGGTTTTCTGTTCACTGACAGACTTATTGCATCATGCTGGCATCAACAAAAATCATGTGCATTGCCCTGGTGCTGAGGAAAAGCGGGAAGAAAAAGGTGACACCCAGGAGGATGTGTTTGCAAGCCTGATAAGACAGGAGGCACTTTTCAACTCTCGTCAAAACTAAAACAAAATGAGGCTGCATTGAAACATTTAGTCTTGTTCATTTATCTAGTTTCAGCTTCTGACTACATTTAAAGTCCCGCAGGAATTATTTTTTTAAAAATGCAATAGATGTACCATGGTGCTATTCAATCGTTTAATAACAAATTCTACCATCTTGTGGTATTATTTTTCAGAATGGCACCTATGTCAACACAGCTGACCCTATGATTGCTCTTTGAGAACAATATTTCATCTACATACACCTGGATCTTAGTTGTCATTCTGGGGTCTGTTTTGGGGGGCTGTTTCAGTTTGGTGCTGCTTTGTCTTTTTAATCATCAGCTGTTCAGAACACTTGGAGATAAACACTGTTCTATATATACACATTAAAACTTTCTCATTTTAAATGAAATCCTCATGTAAAGCGCTGGGCCTCTCACTTCTTTATTTCTCACAAAAGAAGCAACATTTCTAATGGTTCAGAGCTTGGTCATAGATGATCTGCTTAAGCCCAAATCCAGCATAAAAAGATAAATCGGTAATTTCCTCAACGTGGGTGACTGCAGTTCTTATGAAGTGTTTTAGGTTCCTCATAAAATAAAAGTACTTTAAGTGCAGATGAGAAGCAAGGTTGAGCAAAGGAATGCAAATTCCTGTTACATAATACTACTCTGAATTTTATTGCTGCTTGAAGGGGGAGGAAAATGAAAAGGTTAGACACTATAATAGTGGGGTGTGTTATAAGAACAACAGTGCAATTATATCACTGTTGCTGCTTTAGAGCACTGAAGTGAATCAATCACCATCTTCTGCTTCTTCAGACAGGCAAAGTGAAGCAAGCAAGTCCATCCCAGCACTCTGGAAGGCTAACAGGTTTCTTTTATGTCCCTTGTCCCTGGTTACTTCTATTTCATACATTATCTCATTACCGGACCAGTTTATAAGAACTGCTTTATCTACTTATCAGCCTAACCACAAAAACACATGTGTGCTGGTATTGGAAGGCTATATGGATCATGTGGTCACAATGGGAATTGGCACAAAACCAAGGATCTACATAGTTATTGGGGGCAACACATTATGTCTGAGGCAGAGATATTCATGTGACTGAACTCTATGACATACACAGGGAATGGCCAATATATGCAGGGATACAATGAATAAAACACATTATAGAAACTGGCTTTCACTACTTATTAACAATTCCCCAAACCATGCACTGATTCATCCAGTCTTCCATTTGTTGGGTGGAAATTCACCCATGGGGTGAATAATAATCAGCTGGGTGCCTAAATTCAAAACGGGGAGCTAAACACATTCTCCAGCAGGAGAGAGTTCCCAGTAGCAGAGTTTAAACTCACAGAAGTTAAGCAGCAGCACAGGGTTAGGAATATAGGTTGTTAAAACTATTTTCGTACGTCATTTACTTGCATACAGCACTCCCTGTTTTCTACCCCTCTTGCAATGAGCAGAAGTATGTTTAAAATATTTTATTTACAAAACATTCCAAAGGTCAGATTCATGCATTTATTCAGCAGCAACAAGGAGAACGCAGGCAAAATACTCTTGGGCAGTGCTTTTTTTCCTGGGGAGACGCAGGGGTACACATACCCCAAAAAAATTTGTGAATCTAAGTTTGGCCTCATTGAGGGGCAGTATTTCAATATGAGTAGGAAAATGAGAGTACCCCTAAACATTTTTTAAGAAAAAAAGCACTGCTCTTGGGTATAAAATACAGAAAGATAACTTCAAACATGTTCTAAGCTTGGAGCAGGCTTAAGATACGTCCTCCCTGGCAGGTTACATGGCATGGAGAAACAGGAAACAGGAAGAGAAAAGCTTCACTTCCTCATATCAGAAAAAGGGTGGCATGACCTAGCTGAGTCTAGGAATCAATCTCTATTACCTTAACCCCCTCATGAACTAACTAGTGCTCATGCATGGTTGATTTTGACTGAACTTTCCCACACCATTGCTGCCAGATGTTTTCCAATTGAATTATGACCAGCAGGAGGAATACTGAGTTGCCAAAGGTCATCTGCTTAAGAGGACTGGAAATTTACATGAGAAGCATATAATAAAAAGTAATTATGCAACACTTTAAAAAACCACGAAGAGACAGAAGCATATTAAAATGTTGTAGTATTATATATTACCAAATTAGTCACACTCAGACCACATTATGACCAACACAACCAAAACCAAACAAAAAAAATCACTTTGCTACCTAATTTCTGATCTCCTACATATTTTCCCCTCAACATGAACTCAGTTACTTAAACTGAGGCCATAGTTCCTTTCCCAGTAATGGAAAAATTAACCTACCTCCCATATTTCCTATGCTTAACATATTAACATACATAATCAATTATAATCTTCCACTATCTGATTAAATCTTTGCTCTTTTCTCAAACTGAACAACTAGAATTCTAGCAGCAATTTAACAAATAGTTCCCTAATTTGGCATCGTGAACCCAGCTCCTCTAAATACACCAACATCACAAGCACAACAGATAATGGGATCTACCCAAAAGGAATTCACCAACATCACAAAGATAAAACTCTGCCGTACCAAATTCAGGTACCTAGTGATTCAAATAACCAGAAACCTCAACAAAATATACCTCCACAATTACAAGCTCCTGTAGCGACAAATCAACAGAAACTTGAGGAAATGGAACAACACCAACTTCACCCTCTCAGACAAAATAGCTATGATCAAAATGACCACCCTCCCAAAACTAACCTATTATTTATTCCAAACCCTCCCAAACTGGATTCCCCAACTCCAGAAGTAGCAGAAAAAACTACACTCGTTTATTTTCTCACACAAAAAGCAAAGAATAAGCCCCAAATACCTGTACCTCCCTTCCTCAGAAGTTCCAACCCTTCTGGACAGCAGTCCTATAAGAGATATGCAAAATAATCAGTGCTTTTCCCCCTTAAAAGATGTTTAGGGGTACTCTCATTTTCCTTCTCATATTGAAATACTGCCCCTCAATGAGGCCAAACTTAGATTCACAAAATGTTTAGGGGTATGTGTCCCCCCAGAACAAAAGCACTGAAAATAACTAAACAGGTATTAGAACTCACCCCAGAACTGGCCCTACTGAACATCTTCTAAGATCATAGCAACCACTCATATACAGAGCTCATAACCCACCTTCTCTCAGCAGCCAGACACTGGAGAGACCTGTCAGGAGTAAACTTGAACCAATAGTATTTATTTGTATGGGAAACGGCCTTGATAGAAAAGCTAACCAATAAACTGAAACTGACACAGGGACAAATAGAAGAGGATGCCTTCGCTTGGCTTCCCTTTATCACATACACAGCCCAGCGAGACAACAAGAGGAATCCACCGACAACATACAAACATGCCTCCTCCTCACAAATGCAAACCCCACTACAGACAACCACAGACAACCAACCACACCCTGCCCCCCAAGAAGATGCAATAATCGAACAGAAATACAGTGGTACCTTGGTTCTCGAACTTAATCTGTTCCGGGAGTCCCGTTTGACTTCCGAAACCATTCAAAAACCAAGGCACAGCTTCCAATTGGCTGCAGGAGTTTCCTGCAGTCAAGCAGAAGCCGCGTCAGAGGTTCAGCTTCCAAAAAACACTTCTGGGTTTGTGGCTTTCGGGAGCCGATTTGTTCGGGAGCCAAGCCATTCTAGAACCAAGGTACCACTGTAAATGAATAGAAAAAGAACCTACCCAGCTGACGCTGACACAAAACCCCACAGGTACACTATACAAAAGGGTGCCTCACCAACCCAACCCACCCCTCCTCTCCCCCCTCTTCTTCCCCAACCTTATACAGTGGTACCTCGGGTTACATATGCTTCAGGTTACAGACTCCGCTAACCCAGAAATAGTGCTTCAGGTTAAGCACTTTGCTTCAGGATGAGAACAGAAATCGGGCTCCGGCGGCGCAGCAGCAGCAGGAGGCCCCATTAGCTAAAGTGGTGCTTCAGGTTAAGAACAGTTTCAGGTTAAGAACAGACCTCCGGAACGAATAAAGTACTTAACCTGAGGTACTTCTGTACTGTACTCAACAGTTAAGTTCTCACAACAAATGTAACTTATCTGTAAGAAAGACTGTACAAGCTTAAAAAAAGAGACAAGGCATGTACTTTTGTAAACCAACAAAATCATTCATAAAATTATTATTATTATTATTATTAATAATAATAATAATGGGATCACCCCCCAACATTAATTTCATTACCAGATAAAATTTCACTCCTTTTTTATTATTATTTAAGATTGCATCTAGTCTTGTATGCCTAGACCACCAGCAGTCAGGAGACACTTTGAGATATACCGTATTTGTTTTAGCCCCAATATCGCAATAATCCATTCCAAAATCCCCGGAACACTGATCAGTCTTGCTCATTCTGTATTACAGACTGGATGGGTCTTTCAGCTGATGTTGAAGGACAGCACCTAACCTTAGCCTCCCTATGAGTTCATTGCTGAGCATTGATTTGAACTTGCCCCTTCCAGCTCCAAATCAGCTCTTCATCGCCCTGTAACACCTACTTAGCACTAAAACTACCTACGTTTGGCTGCAGATTAAAAGGTGCTGAAACACAGACACACATCTGTCCATCATCAGTATTTGACCACTTTATAGGATTTTTAACTTCTTCTTAAGAGAGAATATTATGAAAATGATATACAGGTGGTACATGACCCCAGTCAAGCTAGCAAAAATTTACCACTTGCCTGATAATAAATGTTGGAAATGTAAAGAAACTGAAGGTACATTCTTTCACCTTTGGTGGACGTGCCCAAGGATTAAGGCTTTCTGGGAGACGATATATAATGAATTGAAAAAGGTATTTAAATATACCTTCTTGAAGAAACCAGAGGCCTTTCTCCTGGGCATAGTTGACCAATCGGTGTTAAAGAAGGATA